CGATAAAAGAGGGGGAGGCCTTCAAGGAGATGGATTGATATGGTGGCTGCGATGATGGGCTCAAGCAGGGATTGTGGGGCTGGCGTGGGATCGGGCAGTGTTTCGTTCTGCTGTGCATGGGGTCGCTATGAGTCGGAAACGACTCGACGGCACTTAACAACAACAACATTCATTCCACTTACTTCATATGGAGGGAATAAAACCCAAGACATACCTTATCTTGCGCAAAGATGGTTTCATCATTAAAAAGCCCAGTTACGTTACTCCCAGGAATATCATCAGCTGAGAGGAAGCAAACAAACCCAGGGACCTTCTGAGCTTCTGAAGTATCTATGGACCTGCAAGAAACAGCAGTGGGAAAGGCCAGGCACTGAAATAAAGCAGAACATTTGTCACCTGACTGGGCAACAGTCTTCATTCTGATGGTATTCCATCCACCCTAACTCCCCCTTCTACTCAATTCCATTCTATTCCATTTGATGCCATGCTATTCTACTCTGTAAATGCACTACACTGTGTTGAATGCTATTAGGGATATAAGGAAGTAAGATAGGCCTGCCCCTTCAGAACTTGTTCTGGTCTCCAAGTAAAAAGGAATGTACTCTAGTGAGCAGCATTTTCTCTGGAGAGTTTTGGCTAAAACTCACATCACACAACTAACACCCACTGAGAATCAGCTCATTAGGTCCTTGTAGTATCATATCCAATGGCCATGAATATCTTCATATAGCTGAATTTCCCATGTCACATTAATGGTGCTACCCCATCAGGCAGGGCTTCCCAGACATAATTAGGCAATAGAGACTTCAAAGAAAGGAGGCTGGAAGAGTTTCTCAGTTATGGCTGTTGTTGTTATGTGCCATCGAGTCGGACCCAACTCATAGTGCCCCTCCTTGGGTTTCCGAGGCAGTATCATTATGGAAGTAGATTGCCCCATCTTCCTTCTGAGGAGTGGCTGGTGGGTTTGAACCACCAGCCTCTGGTTAGCAGTCAAGTACCTTAGGCACTATGCTACAGAGCTCCTATGACAGTCTAAATCATATCCTGATCACTCTGGCCAATGCCTTCATGGAGAAATAGAGCAGATGTACCTTGGGAATAATGTGAAAATCGCTATGAGGTACTTACCATCTTTCAAACAGCTAAATCCTCACAAGAACCCCCTAAAAGTAGTTAGTTATCGTTATCCCCATTTTACATTTAGGGAAAATCGAACACAAGGAAGTAGAATAGCTCATCCAAAGTCACCTGGCCAGAAAGCAGAATAACTGGGATTAGAATTAAAGTAAGGTATGAGGGGAGTCCCTGGGAGGTGCAAACGTTTAATGTGCATGGCTGCTAACCAAAAAGTTGGGGGTTGAAGTCTACCTAGAAGCACCTCAGAATAAAGGTCTCGGTAACTACTTCAGAAAAATCAGCCATTGAAAATTCTGTGGAGCACAGCTCTATTCTGATGCACATGGGGTCACCATAAATCAGAATCAACTCAACACAGCAACTGCTTAAAAGGTATGAATGGTGGTAAAGTTAGTGTAATTTCTGCGGTACCACACTGCCAGGTTGCTGCAGTTACTATAGTGTCTCCCAATCTTCCTATATCCATTCAAAAATTGCTTGGATGGAGCAAAGATGCTTGAATGCAGACAGTGTTAGACATGATGCTCATAATATGTTGATACAAAGTTCAGTCAAGAACAGAGCCAAATGAATTTTATCACATACCTGCCAACCATACCAACTTAAACATATGTTTTTTAAAGGGACCTGTTAAACTTCATCTGCATCTGGTTCACATTTACAGAGCTTGTCTCCAGTCTAAGATCAGCAGGCAAAGAAAACTCCAAAGATCTGATTCACAACCCATGCTGTGGCAGGACCTGAGGGAGAGTTTTTCCAAGATGTTCTATTCAGTGAGGTATGTATCTCATGCTCACTGGGAAGTGGAGCTCACAGTCCTCTGGCCTGAGCATCTGGAGACAGCACAGCCCAATAGCTAATATTGTTTGGCTTCAAACACTAGCTCTGCCACTGACCAGCTGTGTGACCCATGCCAAGTGACTTATCCCCTCTGTTTCCTCAAGTGGAAGATGGAGATTATAATAGGGTTTTTGAGAGGAATATATGTAAAATGCTTTAAAAAAGGGTGTGCCATACAGTAAATGTCATATGAGTGTTAGGGGTTATTATTATTATAGGAAAGAGATAATCTCTAAACCTTAAACCAAAAATATCCCCTGAAGTCTTCTCAAAACCAAATAATAGTTTAGCTTAACTAGTAGAAAATGTCTGCCTTGGCATTATGGCCATTATGCTTTTTTTAAGAACTATCTATATGGGATCAAATTGACAACAGCAACTTGAAAGATGAGATAGGAACCTCAGAACCAAAAAAAAAAAAAAAAAACAACTCACTGCCATTGAGTCACTTTCGAACCATAGTGACTGCATATGGGTTTCTGAGGCAGTAAATCTTTACAGAAGTAGATTGCCCAGTCTTCCTTCCGTGGAGTGGCTGGTGAGTTTAAACTGCCAACCTTCGGTTAGCTGTCAAATGCCTTGGGCACTACGCCGCCAGAGCTCCTTAGGAACCTTAGAGGACAGTGAATTTATGTTAATGGGGGAGGAGCAACTCAGAAAAGGAGGGTGAGAATGGTTGCACAACTTGAAGAATGTAATCAAAATCACTCAATGGCACAGGTATAAACTGTTGAAGTGGTGTATATTTTGCTATGTAGATTCTCAGCAATGGCAAAACAAATAAAATTAATTTTTGAAAAACAAAAAGAAAAGCCCTGGTGGTACAATGGTTAAACATTTGGCTGCCAATGAAAAGGTTGGCAGTTCAAACCCATCCAGCAGCTCTGTAGGAGAAAAGATCGAGCAATCTGCTCTTGTGAAGATTAGAGCCAAGAAAACCCAATGAGGCAATTCTACTCTCTCACATAAGGTCACTATGAGTCAAAAGCAGACTCAATGGCAGCCAAGAAAAACAACAGAGATAGCAATTCCTGCTGCCCAGGATCTTAAAGTTCAACAATGGTGTATGAGTGACTGTTTTGTGCTAGGTGCTATGTGTACTCTATAGCTAATCAGAGCAGCACCCAATTACAATGGGGAAATGTGAGAGTTTAAGCACCCAGGCTAAGGTTGCCATTATTAACCACTAGAGCAGGGATTCAATCCTGGGTCTGTCAGAATTGAAGAATCTGTTCTTGCTTTTGTTGTTGTTGTTGTTATGTGCCGTTGAGTCAGACCCGACTCATAGTGACCCCTCCTTGGGTTTCTGAGGCAGTATCACTATGGAATTAGATTGCCCCGTCTTCCTTCCAGGGAGTGGCTGGTGGGTTTGAACCGCCAGCCTTCTGGTTAGCAGTCAAGTGCCTTAGCCACTATGCTACCAGAGCTCCCGTTCTTGCCTTTAGTCTGACTCAAGTTCTCTTGAAATTGTGCACTTAAATTTAGCACAATATTCAAATGCAAATCTAACCTTGTTCTGCTCAAGGCCTTTCAGTAGCTCCTCATTGCTTTTTGTGCCAAGTATAAGCTTTCTCTTCAGTGCATCGGCCTTTCCCAATCTAGTCCTTGACTAACTCTCCTAACTCTCCAATGCCACCATCTCTCAGTTGCCCTGGAACAGACCTCCCCCTGCCATCACTGAGGCCCTAACTTCTCCTGCTTCTTTTCAGACTATGATGTTCAAAATATTGCCCTGTCTTCCTCCCTGCACTGGAAGGTCCTAAAGGATCCTTGGTATTTCTCTATTTTCAGTGCCCAGCTGGGGCTATGAATCCTTGAGATGGCTCTCGAACCCTCCTCCTTTTTCTATACTCACTTGATCTTGGCATGGGCCTGGGTGCTGGTGACCAACCGGAGAAACAGCTCATTTTCATAGTGAGGGATGTCGTCACAGTACATTGCCTCACCAGAGGCCTGCATCGCAGCAGCCAGGTGAGGGATGGGTCGGCCCACCATGTCCTCCTCAGATTGGCCCTTAGGCACCTCCTGGAACAACATGGTCACCAGTTAGCCTGAGTTGCTGAGGATACTGCTCCCCTAGAGACCCTAGGAGAACAGGGAAAAGCTTCAAGCCAGATGGCAAAGCAAACCTGAAGAATAAAAATAGAGACAGCAGGAGGGGCACAGAGCAGAAGAAAGAAACAGAAAGGCATGTCAAGATGTAATTGATTAGGGTGGTCATAGGATCACCGTGTGAAGGAACAAACAAAAGAGAGAGACACAGATTGGAACCTAAATGTCCACCAGTTGGGGATTGGGTAAATAAATTATGCAATATTCATACAACAGCATATTATGAAACCATTAAAACTTACTTTTAATTAGAAGGAAAGAATGCTCATATTAAGTGCAAAAATGGGATATAAAATAATGTGTGTGTGTATAATGATTTTAATCCTATGGAAAAAAAGAATATATAACATATAGTATACACGTGGATCATAAAAAATTATGAATATCGTTGAGATAAATGGGGATTCCAGAATACTTAATTGCACTCATGAGCAACCTGCACATAGACCAAGAGGCTGCTGTTTGAACAGAACATGGAGATAGTGCATGGTTTAAAACCAGGAAGGGTGTGCATCAGCGTTCTAGTCTTTCACTATACTTATTCAATCTGTATGCTAAGCAAATAATCCAAGAAGTTGGATTATATGAAGAAGAATGAAATGCAGCATCAGGATTGGAGAAAGACTCATTAACAACCTGCAATATGTAGATGACACAATCTGGTTTGCTGAAAGTGAAGATGACTTGAAGCACTTACTGATGAAGATCAAAGACTACAGTCTTCAGTATGGATTATA